TGTACATGAGAATATCATCAATGTAAACAAGGGCACTCTCCATGATTGGTTGGAAAATCTTGATCATTATCTTTTGGAATAGTGATGAGGCCATTTTGTCTCCAAAGGGTATAACCTTCCACTGGTAATGATGATTTGGAATACAAAATCCTGTTTTAGCCCTCTCTACAGGATCTATACACAAATGCCAAAATCCTACCTTAAGATCAAACTTTGAAAAGATCTGGGCATTAACCAAGTTTGATAACAACACATTCTTGTTGGGTAGAGGATATTTATCATCCTAGAGAAAATTATTGAGAGGTTGATAATTAATCACGAGCTTGAGCTTTCTTCTTGCTTGTTCTGATCTTTTATTAACATAAAATGCTTCACAAGTCCACTGCGAATCTGAAGGCTCAATCAACTCTTGTTGCATAAGTTCATTGCATTCTGTTTCTGCAAGTTTTTTATGTTCAGTATTCATTCCTGAGTGACTGGCCTTTGTTGGGTTGATATCTTCACTTTTCTTGAAAGGTAATTGAATGAAAACTCTGAATTATTCCATAACAGATGATCACATTTTGACAAAAAGTCCTCATGTGAATCTGCACAAGCTTTCTTCTTAAGTTCTTCAATAGCATAGGAAATCACCTCTTTGGTCCCAATCAAGTATAATCTAGAAATTTCCACAAATGGCTTAAACATTTGTTTATATTTAATACCATTAGGTAGAATTCTTAGATGTTTGGCTTTTGTATAGAGATCAAAGCCCACAACTAAATCTTTTCCTAGGAGATGTGATCCTAATACTATGGTTGTAATAGCACATCCTTGAAAGAATTAATTAGTAATAGGCCTACTAATGAGGTGAGTTACAAACGTCTGATCTGCTGGTGAATTAAAATTTTTGGTATAAGGTTTCCACCAATATGGGGGAAGGATCTTCAAATTCATGATCGTCTCAATAACTTCAATATCAATAAAAACAATTACTGAAATTGGTTTTCATATTTTCCATGATAAATAGACGCTGAAATATGTGGATCATGAACTATTAATGCCATTGATGAGCTTATTTTGCTTTGAAGTATATAGACCCCTTCATTTTCAAAGGACCACTCTGTATTAGATTAAAAGACTTTGATATTTATGCTTTGAATGGAAAATAGGGTCTGATCAGTAAGCTCATCTTCAATAGAAAAGAGGGATTCAACATCATCATCTTCTTTGATCTTAATCAATGTCTTCTCTTGGATTTGCTGGATCATTTTTGAACCTCTCTTGTTCTTGGGATAATTCTTTGCAAAATGTCCTTTTTGTCCACAAACATAGCACCTGGATGACTTCACACATGTGGCTCGTTTTTTTCTCAGATATCTCCATTTTTTTCTCATTCTTGGGAATGATGGCGTTCTAAAAGATCTTTTCCTGAGATATTTATAGAACTTTTTTCTTTGAAAACTGCAGTGGCATTGCTACTTTTTCTTACATTTGATGGTTAATCCAGACTCCTTACAAGCTTTGTCTAGCTCTTTACTTCCAGTCATGTAATCTTTAATAATCTTCTTTCTATCACAAATTTTTTCAAAAAGCGATATAAGTTTCATGCTCCCATAGTCAACTATAAAATATCTCTCATTTGATGCTGAAGATATCTGTTGACTGCATTCTACAATAGTTCTGGGATCGAAGCCGGTATTGCTTGGTTCAAACTCTGATATGCTCATAGAGTGTAGAAGAACTTTGTCATAATGTTGAAATGTTTCTCTAGATCTATATTTTCAAAAGAACATCTTTTTTGAAAAACTCCTTTCTCTTGAGAGTCTTTACATCATCTGGATTTCCAAGAAAACAATTATGCATTGCACGAATAACCGCTGCAAAATCTTGTTCAACTAGGAACTGCATTTGATCTTCTGGGGATAAAGTAATCCATCAGTCTCGAAGTACACCAGTGAATCTAGAGACAAAGTCTATGAGGATATCATAGTTGTTTTCCCTTGTCAGCTTTTGTGTCTCCATCCACGAGTGAAATTCCTGAAATCTTTGAGGCCATCTTGATACATGAATATCATGAAGTGTAAATGTGTACTTTTTGCCATTGACTGGAAATGTTTGTGACTGTCTTATTGCTGATGTTTATTCCATATGATCAGGATCTGAGTCTTTTATTTTAACTCCAGGCTGATTGGTTGCTTCCATGATCATATTCTCTGGAGGCGTATGAGCTTTCTGAACCTTCATAGTCATAAGTTTCTTGTTCTACTTCTTCTGTTTGTTCTTTCTCTAGATTGACAACAACTATCTTAGGGATTGTGGTTTCCCTGTATTTTCTAAGGAAAGAAGTCAAAGAATTCTGTTGATCTTGGTGTATCATCAATGCTTTTGAAAATTTTGGAGAGGGACCATCTTCTTCTTGTATTTTCCCTTTATCTTTTTATCTCTTCTTATCAGATTCTTGATTCTTTATCTACTAATAAAGCTCATAAGTTGTTGGTTTCTTTGTCTCTGCAGTGAAAGGGAAAAATATCAGCCCTTGTGAAGCTTCATATCCCTTCTGAATGAAGAAAATATAGATTGTCGAGGTTCTAGTATGGATCTTTTCAAATATAGGAAAGTTTTTTTCTTCAAGCGACTGAGGAACTTGTCCTGTTTCCTCGAGTATTTTAATCTAATCCTTTAGCTTTTTAATTTCTTTTTCCTTTTGTTCAAGATGGGAAAAGAAATCTTGTCCTGGTGAAACAATTTCTTTCTCAACTTGTTGTAACCTTTTGTGGAGTAACACGATCAATTCATTGGCAATCCTTGGATTCCACCCGGGTAAGTTTGACATCTATATGTGTAATCTTGGAGTCAATCTTCTTTAAGGTAGTATTTTGAGCAAGAGCATTCTCAGTTTACCAATTAAGAGTCGCTTTTGCTGCACTGATATTTTCTCCATGAAGTTAGCTGAGGATTTTTGGAGCATGCTTATACTCATTTTAAGTGAATTCCTCAAGAAGAGGAAACTCTTTGTCACAAGAGGGATCTGAAGGTTGGAATATGCAGACAACAGGGATTTGTTGAGTTTGAGGTTCTGTTTCAGGGTTTTATTTTACCCATTGTTTTGTAACAAGGTTGGGTTAATTTTTTTGGTTTTATCTTTGGTGCTGGTGGTGGAGGAGATGAAAGATTTGGTGGAGGATTTTGTGAAGGAAACTGATATAGTTTAGTTGTAGGGGTTTAGGATGAATAATCCACTAGGAAAATAAATTTCCCATTATATTCTCCAAGTGGTACAACTGAGGGATCTCGTTGTATATATCTTTTTTAAAAACTGGAATGAGAAGACTTCTTTTTCTTGCCATTTTTGTGAGGACAATATTCTATATGATGATTCCCCTCGATCCATGCATCAAATCTATCATCAGCACAAAGTTCAATGAGCACTTAAGATCCCACGAACAATGACCAGATATTGAATCTTTGAACATGTAGATCGACTTGCCTGATTCCTCAAAATGCTCTATGAAAGAGGGTTCTAGGCTAGGTTTACATAACTCACAATAACAATATGGATCTTCTTTATAATGAGCTTCTATGGAATCACCGAGTGGCAACATCATAAATTATGTAGGAAGTATTGACGATGTTGGTTGCCTCTTCAGGTGATTATGGTCAAACCGGATTTTCGAAGTCCTATATTCTATATAGGTGATCTTGCTATTAAGGGATCTATCTGGTTGTCTTTTTTCATGGATATGCTCGTAATTCGTCACCCACTTGTCTGATAATAACTGGATTAGCACTTTTCTTAGAATTCGCCTGGGTATATGGACACAGTGTGGCTGCTCCTATGTATTAACTGAAATCAAAAGTGAATCACCATATCTATTTTCATTAAGCTTGAAAGCATGATCTTGAACTATATACAATATTTGATAGTGAAGAGTTGCAATTATTGAAGATTCCACTTGCGAGGCTCCAATTATATATATCTAGACTTTTATAGCATCCAAAAATATTTGGATCTGCAAGGGCCATAACAAGTATGTTGTTCATAGTAGCCTCAACAATACCAATACAGGCATCTTGTTACTTTAAATATCTAATATCCAGTAAAGCAATTCTTGTTACTACTAGTTTTCCTTCTATGTCATGATAATTGAGAGCGAGTCGAATTGCACCAAAATAGATATGAGAATACCTAACTTCTATCCATTTTTATAGAAAGCCAGGAGAAATTTCCAGAGTAACAAACTGTTCTATTGTTGATTCCGTAATGAAATGTTTATCAAAACGGGATGACTGGACGCACTCTTTTACACCTTTTGATGGCGTATGGATTAGAGACTTGATATATTTTTTTATGGGAGAAAAAGATGGCTTTTTGTAAGAAGAGTAATGATTTACACGAGGAAGTTCCGTGGGTTAAACTTTTTCATCTTTAGAATAATGAACTTCATACAAGAACGAAATCTTTTTGACTATATAGGTTTTAAGAGGAAAATCTCCCATGGTAACAAAGGATTTTAAAGAAGAGGGTTCGATAGAATAGTTTCTGACATGATAATAAGATTCATTCTCTTAAATCTATATAAAATGAATAAATAGATCTAAGAGTGTGACTCTAATACCAAATAGGATAACATGAATATGAAAAATATATTGTATTGTACGGCAATTCAAGTATTAAGAAAAATGGTAAATTAAATATTTAATACTTAAATTATTAGTTTTGATCTATTCTAGTATTTGAACTTACAAGTTTTCAAAATCGTGCCTAACATTTAGTTTTTATTTCATTTTAATATCCGTCGTTAAAAATTTAACACGTTTATTACCTAAACTACCTATTTTCATCCGATTTAGTACTTGAACTTTCAATTTTTCAAAACTTAACATTAAAATTTTGAATTGAATACTAAAATAAAACTAAAACTAAAATTTTTAATGACAGACACTAAAATGAAACAAAAACTTAATTTTGTATCATTTTGAAAAAAATTGAAAGTTTAGAAACTAAAACAGAGTAAAAAGATAATAAACACGTAATTTACCCTAAGAAAATTAAATAAAACAGGATATTTGTATAGATAGCAGCGTATCTATACTCGATGCTGCGAGGCCAAAATTCTGCCTAAAATGCCCCGCTGGCGAACACAAGCAGCAACCAAATACTACATTGGATTTAAAAGAGAAGCAGAAGCAGAGCAGGTAATAGAATACACAGAGCATCCTTCCATTGGAGACGCAGGGAAGCTAACAACAACTCGCAGTCTTCCATAAAATCTCATATAAATTATTCCACACAGAGAGAGAGAAGAAGTGCAAGTTTTATGTTGTCAACCACATTGTTTCTTCAACCTTTGGTGGATTCTTCGGCTTCAAAAGGAGGATCATAAAGATCAACCTCTTTGGGTGGTTCACTCTTGCTTCTCCCATTAGTTGGTTTGCTTCCCTCTGCACCCAGTTCTCTGTGGCTATCACTTCTGCCCGGATTCCTGTTTCTAGGGGATTTACCGGGGGCTTCATATAGGGTTACCCCCCAGCCTCCACTTTGAATTGTAGCTTCTTCATCACTCACCTTGGTCTGAAACGTCTCGAGTAATTCGACCACTTGGCTCATGAGAGGCCTCCCTTTGGGGTTTTGGCTAAGGCATTGGTATGCCAAATTGGCTACCTTCATTGCAGTTTTAGCCGAGTACTGGCCCTCCATTCTAGGGTCTAAGATCCTCATAAGTTTCTTATTATGGACCAAGAGGGGACGAGCCCACTCAACCAGGTTATGTTCTCGGCTAGGCCTGCTCTTGTCCATTGCTTTTCTTCCAAGGAGCATCTCAAGTAACACTACTCCAAATCCGTAAACATCACTTCTTGCCGTTAAATGGCCTGCCCATATCAATACCGCAACTTGTTTAGCCTTTATCATTTCTAGAACCAGCATGCCTAAACATTATTAGCAGCTTTGGAAAGGATATAAAAAAACCAAGAGCATCACATAACTGTTCTATAACACGTTCTATCCGGCAATTGAAACAATTTGGTTGTGAAAATAAAGTTGAAATACTTCCAAAATTACTGTAGAATTTTGTCATCTGATTTCAATTTTGGAATGTCCCAGATGCAGACCACCAAAACAACAGGATGACATATACCGGGTAGATTAAAAATAATTACAGATTAATATAAAAATTATCAGTCTTCTGTCTTCTAACCCCATTTGTATTAAGAGAAGACCTACTACTAATTGATTAAGAAGAGCCTATCATTAAGACTTAAAATGTTCCCCAATTTTGGCAAAGATGAAGATTTTCAGTTCCATTGCAACATAACAATTAATTACTAACCAGTCATCACATATTCAGGAGCAGCATATCCATATGTGCCCATCACTCGTGTTGACACATGGGTCTTGTCTCCCATTGGTCCTTCCTTCGCAAGGCCAAAATCTGAGAGCTTTGCATTGAAGACCTACAGTTTACATGCATATTTAGAAATAAAATCCACAACTTCCTGAAAATAAAACATGGAAACTTAGAATACGTTTCAATTGAACTCTAGATATGGATAATATTTGTCAGAAAGGAACTTCCACTGATTTAATCATTTGTAAGGTTTTTCACTTTTAGGAGCTATAATAAACTAAATTTCTGATTATAGAAATTTCTTTAAAAAGAAAATTGATCTGAGAAAAGGTCATATACAAGCTTATTAGTCTTCCCATTTTTAAAGATTCCATGAAATAATACAAACTTGATTAATGTAGATGATAACTAACCGCGTCCAGCAAGATGTTTGATGTCTTGAAGTCACGGTATATGATAGGTCTTTCTGCATCATGGAGAAAAGCAAGCCCTTTTGCAGCATCTAATGCAATCTTCATTCTTTTTGACCATGTCAAACTACAACCAACTCCTACCAAAGAAGAACAAATAGGGTCAACAAAAAATTCTTCTGTTTTTTCTATAGTGGAAAACAGATACCTCTTTCCTTGATATGCATGCTCAATGCCAGATGTTTTTGGCAGGTAAATTTATAGTGCTGTTCATCTCCTAAACACAGACTTAAAATTACTTCTTTTTTCCAACCACTTACTGCGGAAAAGATGTTTTTCGAGGCTCCCACTTGCCATGTATTCATAGACAAGCAGCCGATGATCATCTTCACAGCAATATCCAATGAGCTTCACAAGATTTGGATGGCTGAGTTGTCCTAGATAATTGACTTCAGCCTACAATACAAAGATTGAGACACAAACAGAAGCAAATATATTTTGTCTTGATTTTTTTGTTCTAAATAAAAATGGAAAGAAAGGCACACAAGAATCTAACATATCAACTTGAAACACTTTTATTTCAAGTATCATTTACTGGTGGAAAAGATGCAGTTGAATCGTATATCCATCCGTAAAATGAGAAATAGCAATAAAAACAGCTCTTTCTCCACGAAATAATCTCAAATATAAAATAATATGAAAAAACCATATCAATATTTTAAAATCCTTTGCTTAATTATATATGCCTAAATGTATATGTATACCTAACGAAGATATTCATGTAATGTTTAAATTACACTTCTCTATCAAATCCAAGGTAGAATAACAACTATATTAATAAGATAATAGGGTGTGTGTATAATTAATGTATTCCTTTAAAGTGGATTCTCATAGTTGTAATACTATAACAGAATCTACCATATATTGAGAAGTCTTTCCCCAGCTAGATAAACTTGGCGTAAGTTTGTATCCATAAGTTTGTACCACTGTTTGGCAATGGTATGGCAAATTATGAATCCGTAAATGTACATATGGCACAAATAAAATCATAACACCTCAAGTTAAAGGAATGATGCCAATTAAAAAATACAAGGAGATTACCAGCCATTCTCTGTCACCTTGGAACCCGTCAGGATTAAGCTCCTTAACAGCAACAGCTGTAGATTTGTAACCAGGTCTCACATTTTCATCTATTACTCCTTTATAAACAACCCCAAAGCCACCATCACCAAGAATATAATCTGGCCGGAATTGCTTTGTAGCCAGCCTCATCTCCTCATACGTGAATATATCAACGTTGCTATATCCAGGATTCTTCCGTAGATCTTTGACATCCTTTACTGTCAAAGCAATAAAGCTTGGGCTTCTGATTTTGAGTGAGTCCGAGTTTTCTTGTTTTTTTGAGGATGCCATAGTTTTAAGTCCTCCATCTGAAGTTGTTCATAACAAAGAAAGATTTACAAAAATGGAACATTAACACCCATCTTATTTAATAGTCCTATTATGTGGTTTAGAAAAGATTGGTCACACAAGGCACAAATCAAAAGCAGAGTCCAACCTATAACAGTTTGTTCAAATTCAACCCAAACAATTACTGTCATGATTCTCTTGTCTGAAATATATTTTAGGCTAGTCTATCAAAATGTACAGCATACAACAAGTTGTACACTTCTAATTTACTAAAAACATACCCGCATCATCTTGATTAAAGTTTCCCACACTACAACTTTCAGTTGAACAACATTTTACAAATTCCAACCTAAAATGAATCACAACCATAAGAACAAGGTCTGAACAATGTCAAAACCTAATAAACTTCTAGCAATCAATACACAGAGTTTCAAATAGAACACTGAGAGCTGGAAGAATAAGTAAAACGGGAAACTGAACAGAAACTTAAAAACCAACACAAAAGCATGAAAACATAAAACATATACTCCAACGAGAGAGTTAGAAACTTAAACCAAAGAAATTAAAAAGAAAAAGATCACTAGAAAAACTAAATGAAATTGAAAAACAACCTGGAGCCTTGCTGTGAGATCGATGCGACTGTTCTTCAATGCTAGAACAAATCCCCATTAATCCGTTGGCCCACACTCTGAAAATGACTCTGGACTCAGATTTTTATCTACTCATTGCTCTATATCACATTATACTCAGTAGGAGGATCTTATCACAGTCTAAATGAACAAATCTTAGTCAACGTTGTAAAAAGAAGAAATGGGATCAGATCTATGACTCGGTCTCAACGAAGAAATGCAGCGATCCAACTTGGCTAACAAGAGAAAAGGTCACAGCGAAGAAGGAGAGTAAAAAACACGCAAAAACTATTGAAAAAGTGGAAGAGCTAGATAATGTTTTACTAATTACTTGGAGTTTCTTCTCTACAATTATTCTTTTTCATTATTCAGAAGCCGCGAAAAACGACAAAGACAAATGAAACCCAAATTAAAATTAAAATTTAAATCAAAAAATCAATAATAGAAAAGATTTAAATATTAAATTTAAAACTTAATATAAAAATAAGTGTTGAAATTATATTATTTTTTATTTTATTTAGGTATCTAAATTATTTTTTTATCAATTTAGGTGTCTACTATTTTAAATATTATAATTTTAAGTGTTCTAATCATAACAATCGTTAAAAAATCTCGTTAAGTAATATATGTCATGTTCTGATAAATTTAAAGATTTTATTTAAAATAAAAAAATTTAAAATATATTTTATTTTAAAATTTTATAATTTTAAATTTTTTTATTATAATCCTTATATCCACATTGGTTACTGTCATTTATTATCGTTATCGTCGATTAAACATTCATCCGATCAAATTTTCACCAATGATATAATCATATAACAAAATAATTATCATCACTAAGGTGGTGTTTATTTTCATTGTGCAAACTCTTCAAATCACTTATGTCTGTGTCGCGCAGATCACGCGCAGACATTAGGCTTCGCAGACTGTTTGTTTTTTAGAACACAGAAGCCATTCAAACGTCTGCGCGAGCTCTTCTTGGTGCAGACTTGGTTTTATGTCTTCAAAGGTCTTCAAACCTCTTCAATAACAATTATAAAATATAGTTATTTATTAAAATAATTTTAAATAATTTAATAAGGTTATTTTAAAATAATTTATTATAAAATAATTTATTTTAAAATAATTTATTTAAAATAATTTACTATAAAATAATTATTTAATAAATTATTATAAAATATGGATTGATTTATTTAAAATATTTTAAATAATTATTAGTATCGATTGATTATTTTAAAATATGGATTGATTATTATAAAATAAATTATTGGATGATTATTTAAAATATGGATTAATTATTATTGTAGTTGTATGGATTGATTTATTTTAAATAATTTATTAGTATAGATTGATTTATTTTAAAATATGGATTGATTTATTTTAAATAATTTATTAGTATGGATTGATTTATTTTAAATAATTTATTAGTATAGATTGATTTATTTTAAAATATAGATTGATTTATTATTGTAGTTGTATGGATTGATTATTTTAAATAATTTATTATTAGTATTGATTTATTTAAAATATGATTGATTTATTTTAAATAATTATTAGTATCGATTTATTATTTTAAAATATGGATTGATTTATTATTGTAGTTGTATGGATTGATTTATTTTAAATAATTATTAGTATGGATTGATTATTTTAAAATATGAATGATTTATTTTAAATAATTTATTAGTATGGATTGATTTATTTTAAATAATTTATTTGTATGGATTGATTAATTTATTTTAAAATATCGATTGATTTATTATTATAGTTGTATGGATTGATTTATTTTAAATAATTTATTAGTATGTATTGATTTATTTTAAAATATGAATTGATTTATTTTTAAATAATTTATTATTGTAGTTGTATGGATTATTTAAATTTCAGTATTATAAAACTAAAATTATTTAAATCTCAGTATTGCAAAAATCTTTTAAGTTTAAAAAACTAATTTATTTATATTTCAGTTCATTTTAGCATTCTGCAGACGTTAAAAAACAAACAGTCTTCTTCTTGCAGACTGCAGACTTTTGGTCCACCTCTTCTGCTGCAGATGCCTGTAGATGTGGTCCGCAGACTGCATACATTTGACCTCTACAAAAACAAATAACACCTAAATTTTTCAGCCATCATCATCAAATGTTAATATTAGATAAAAGGTGAAGGAGATAAAGGAATAGAGAGAGAGAGGCTGGCTGGGGGAGGGGAGGGGAGAGGGGACCAAAGAGATAGGAGGACTGGGGATATTATTTTTTAATATTTTTTAAATATAATAATTTATTTGTAAGTTTTTAAATATTTTTTAAATTATGAGAATGTAATATGTGTTACTTAACGAGATTTTTCAACAGTCATTGCGGTCGATGTACTTAAAATGATAACGTTTATAACATTAGACACTTAAATTGACAGAAAAATAGTTTAGTAATCTAAATAAAAAAAAGTATGGTTTAAACATTTACTTTTATATGAGTAAAGCATATAAATGGTCTCCCAACTATAAGATGTTGCTTTATTGAGTTGACGATAATGGGTATCCGACTATTTATTGTGTTCTAAACTCGTCTTTTTTTGTTGTTAAAAAATGATAGCAATTTGAGTTGGATATTAACTGATGACTTATATATAATATAATTTGATCTCAAAATCTCAAACAACTTTTATATATAAGTTAGAAAGTTAAGGTTTAGCTCAAACTTATCAATTTTCAACGAAAAATGATGAGTTTAGAACACAATAAATAGTCGGGTGACCATTTTGTAACTTTTAATAATCAGAGACTCAAAAGCGACGTCTTATGGTTAAGGGATCATTTTGTCATTTTTAATAGTCAGATAATTCAATAAAATAATATTTTATGGTCGTGACAATTTACATACTTTACCCTTTTTATATTAAGCCTAAATTTAATTTTAAAACTAAATTTATTTATTAAAGTATGCATTAACTTCATTACATAGGACAAAATTTATAATATAAAAAAATATTAGCAGACCCTATTCCCATATGTAACGGGGTAAGGGGAGGTAGGATAGTAGGCTGCCTCCAACGTCAGGTTGAGAGCAGCTTCCGTGGGAGACCACCGACAGTCAGAATTATGAATTGTCCACCGTAAAACTCGATCTCATGACCACAAGATTAAGAGCCTTGTGCTCTACCAACTGAGCTGTACGAACAATTAACTGAAATAAAGCAATTAAACAAATGATGGATCATCAAAGATCAAAAGCCATAAAAAATTGAACAACAATAATCATATTTCATTTTTTAGTACAATGAGAAAATCTAGAATCTAAGCTATTTGAGCATGCGATTTTCCCGATATATCACCGATGACCGGTAATATTATCGATCTAACACCGGTCAGATTATATTTCCCGATCTAACACCATTAGCAGTAAAGCGCGCCCCCTGCACTGCGCTATACGATGATTTGGCGCCACGTGGGGTATAGCGCGCCTCCTGCATCGCGCTATATAGTGAGCTGGCACCACGTGGGTATAGCGCGGCCCTTGCAGCGCGCTATACCAGTATATCTGACACGTGGGGTATAGCTCGGTGCAGGGGGCGCGCTATACCCCTAACTACCGACCCCTCATCCCTATAAATACTCCCATTCTCAATCAATTTTATCACACCAAATTCTCTAAATTTCTCTCAAATACTCTCTTTTTAAAGTAAATTTTATAATATTTTTAATATTATATTTTTACTTTTTTTAATATTTTACTAATATAATTCTTTTGCAGATATATAATGGAAGACAGTCTACTTCGCTCGGATGGAAATCTTATATCTCTACACTTTGCTGATACGGTAACATTTTAACGTTTTAATTTAATTTAAATTATTAGTAATATTTAGTTATTTATTTAATGCATGATTATTATATTAATAATTAAATATCTCGACACTTTGCTGATACGGTAACATTTTAACGTTTTAATTTAATTTAAATTATTATTAATAATTATTTGATTCATTTAATGCATGATTATTAGATTAAGAATTAATTTTTGTAATTATTTATTTTTAGGAGAAGGACCGTGTATTAGATCCTTTTATTAGGAATCTTAAGTTAGTGATACCCAGTCGTGTCTTGCCGTATTTAGTAGAGGCTGGATTCGGTTACATAGGTAGATATCAGGGTCACTGTAAGATTGAGCCAGACCTGATTTCTGCCTTAGTAGAGCGGTGGAGGCCGGAGACCCACACATTTCATCTTTCGTGCGGAGAGTGCACGATCACGCTTGAGGATGTTTCTATGCACCTGGGGCTTCCGGTGGATGGAGATGTGATATCGGGGATAGCTTTCGGTTCTTGGACTGGTTTATGTCAGGATAGTTTAGGACGTGTCCCGGAAAATTTTATCGGAGGTAGGATACCGTTAAATTGGTTAGATGCCAATTTTTGGGAGTTGAGTGTAGACGTCTCTGAGGATGAGGTTAAGATGTATGCATGGGCATGTATACTGCAGCTGATAGGAGGGTTGCTGATGCCGGACAAATCGCGTAACCTAGTTCACTGCATGTGGTTGCGACATCTTAGCGACTTTTGTCTCGCCGGATCATTCAGTTGGGGCTCGGTAGTTTTGGCTTTGCTGTACAGGGAGATGTGTGGAGCCACTGACTACAGGTGTAATGCTATCGGCGGATGTCTCTTGCTGTTGCAGTCTTAGACATGGTATCAATTGCCCTTTTTATGTCCTGTTGTGAAGAACCCATTCGTATTTCCACTACTTCTGAGGTAATTATAAAACTGATTTTGTATATTAATAATTTTATACATCGTATAACAAATTTTTTCCTTGAATAGGTGGTCTACTGATAGGAAAAATCATCAGGAGCTACCTGATGATTTAGAAAAGATTAGGGTGCTAATCGATCAGAAGGCTGGCATACAGGTATGAATTTTAATGTTTAAAAATCGATTTTAGATTATAGTTATATAATTAGATTATTATTTTGATAAAAAATTATATATTATTTGTTTTAGTTTGAATGGGTGCCATATTCTACTGATGATGTGAGGGCGGTGATCCTACATGAGTTGAGGGGTCCATTAGATGTTTGGATGGCGATGGTCCATCTGATCTGTTATGCGACCGTCGAGTGGCACTCCACTGATCGCGTGCTCCGACAGTTTGGTTGTTTTCAACCAATTCCGGAAGCACCTCGCAATATGGATGAGTTGCATAGCTTAGATAGACACGGAAAGACAGATACAGATTGGCTGGTGAGGCATCATGAGTGGGTCGT